AGGACACCAAAGTCAGCTTGATGCCGCACCCGTGAAGCAGTGTCGTTCAGTCGAGGAAGAGGAGAGGCCAGAGTTTATCATGAAGGTGGAGAAATTACAATTCAGAATATCTTCCTTAGGAAAGATAAATTGTAACAGAGTAAGGGGGACATGCACATAGTAATGATGCCCCCCACACCTCTTTTCCCGTAACAATCAAGGAGAAACACTGCAAAGTTTAACCACTGGCATGAATGGGGATTTACAGTAAAGCACTTTCCCTCCCAGCTCTGCACTTTATAGTCAGACTCCCTACGTCTGCCCTCTAATCCCATGCTGATCAAGCAGGAAAAGTGCGATGTTCAACCCCTGGTATGAGCGGGAATCTCCAGGAAAGCACTTCCCCTCCCAGCGCTGCGCACTGGGCTCTGCTCTGCCGGCTCTCGGAGCGGTGGACGCAGAAGCAATAAACACACGTCCCGACAGGGCGATGCACCAGCAGCAGCCAGTGACAGGGGGCAGATTTGCATGAAGGGGCCGGTCTCAGCTCTGGGGCTTTATGAGAGACTCGGAGGGTCCCAGCCAGGGACCCATTTGTGTCAGGAAGTTAAACTGGTCAGGATCCATCACCATGGCCTGTGCCCCGCTCCTCCTGGTGCTGATGATGTGCTGCTCAGGTGGGCAGAAGGGTTCAGGTTGTGACTGTCATGGGGGCAGCTGCTTTCCTGTCAGTGCGGTCAATGAATGGTTAATAATGGGTTTGTGATGTTGATTTCAGGGGTCTGGTCACAGCCTGTGGTGACTCAGGAGCCTGCGCTGTCCGTGTCCCCAGGAGGGACTGTCACTCTGTCCTGCAGCCTGAGCACCGGAGCCATCACCAGCAGGAACTATCCTGCCTGGTTCCAGCAGAAACCTGGCTCTCCCCCTCGGCAGCTTATATACCTCACCAGCAGCAGGCCCTCGGGGATCCCCACCCGGTTCTCGGGGGACATTTCTGGTCAGAACAACACCTTAACCATTATGGCAGTCCAAGCCGAGGATGAGGCTAACTACTTCTGTGGTGTGCGTGCTGGCAGCAGTGATGCATAGAGCACCGTGATAGCGCCCTATGAGTAACTGAGACAGAAACCTCCTTCTCCTCCTCTGCACCTGGGCCCTGCAGGGATCTCCCTGCTCCAGCTGCAGAGAGCTGTTTTGCTGTTTCCATTTTCATTAGAAACCTCAGACCTTCCCTAGCCTCTGTCTCCCCTGTCCATGGCCTCCAGGTTAGCTCAGACATTGCGCTGCAGACCAGATGCGTGTTTGAAATCCTCCCTGCACTTTGTTTGCTGATGGCAGTATTTCATGGTTTCCATGAAGCAAGCCCTGATGCTGAGCCGAGAACACCTTTAACTCTGTGGATTCCCATTTACCCCTGGGTTTTTCTTGTGACTCCTGTGGGGACATCTAACAGTATGAGCACTGTGTGGCACCCAAGGGCCCCCTGGTTGAGATTCACTGTCCTGGGCTGCCCTGCTGTGCCCCTTACTGCATTCTCCAAGCAGGCCTGTGTGTTGCAGGGCTAGACCCCAGCCTGACCAGTGCCCTCCCACAGTCTCCCCTCCACCATGGGCAACTGGTGTCCCCTGAGTTTGGGGGGCACCGGCAGGCATCGCCACCAGCGTTGGTGGCAGGGCTGGAGCTGGTGAGCTCCTGCAGGCACCACTACCTGCGTCGCTGGCGGGGAAGTCCTATGAAGCAGGGCACATGCCCCCCTGTGCCGCCCCTACGCATCGCCTGTGTCGTCCACGCTCTCTGTCTGGGTACTGGGCTGTGACCCACTTCCTTACTGCCAGTGTTTTGCTTCTTTAGGAGCCAGTCCTCCCTGCCCCACTCCACACAGTGCGGAGACCTGAGGGGCTGTGAACCACCAGCAGGCTGCTGGGCTGGCAGGCAGGGAGCAGGCAGCCTGCACAGATCCTTTCCCCAGTCTGGGCAGGGAAGGAGCAGCAGCTGGGGAGGGGCAGTGGAGCGGCGCTGTTCTCCTTGCATGGGGGCTGCAGTGGTTATTGCTCCTTGTCCCTTCTCCACATGGGTCAGGTACTCAGGGGGTTTGCAGGGACCAGCTATGCGGGAATGCACCTGCAGGTGGGGTCAAACTGGAGTAGAAAGTCCATGCGCTGTGTGATGAAATCCTACTTCAGCTTCCTCGCCCTGGGGCTAGTCCGTGTCCCCCACCCTCCATCTCAGGTGTCTATCACTCTGGCTGCTGAGCAAGTGAGGGGAGAGGGGAGAGCTCTTCATTGTCCTAAGCAGGGACCTCATGGCCCGGGGGCAGGGGCAGGAGCCCCTCTCACTCCACCAGGTAACCAGTGATGCTTTTTAAATTGATTGGCATCCATCACCTGCCCTGATGGGACTTGGAAAGGTGATGACAAAAGGCCTATATAAGCTAAGATTGCCCAGGAGGAGGGAGAGAGCCATTTTGGGGATCATGTGAGCAACGGACCAGGCAGAGAGATGGGGATCTCTGTGGGAACTCTCTGACGCACAATGAACTGCCTGCCTCCAGGGGAAAGTTCAACCAGCCTCTGGATGATACTTGTGGGCAAGCTACTTGAAACCTATCTAGAAATATAGCTTGCTGTAAAGTAGATGCGTGTTCAAAGGCTACCTAGCCACACTGTTTGCTCTAAGGTTATTCTGTGATGCATCTCTATCCTGTAGCCTTCCCCAAGTCTTCCCTCTGTAACCAGTAAAGCCCCCCCACACTATACAAAGCATGATGGTCTGGCTGGGAGAGGGATAGGGGTGAGCCTTTGTGTCCCCTTGGTCCGGCTGACTAAGGGAGGCTCCGTTTTATGCTTCAGGCTAAAGGAAGCACCCCAAGTTTTCACAGTGGGGAAACATCCTCAAGGTCTACAAGGCCTGTGTACCCCAGGGGGCAAAAGGCTGAAGACAGACCCGAACCCCTGGTGGGTGTCAGCGGTCACCTCAAGGTTTCGGGTGTGCTCCGGGAAGGGTGTCAGCCAGATGTGAGGCACCCCAGGGAGGCACTTGGAGCTTGGTAGGTGATCGGGCGCAGTGAGGTGGGTGGCTCAGCGCAGAAGTGCCGCGCTCCTGGTCTGCCACAAGCCTTCAGGAAATACACTATGAAATGCCATCCCCTTAGGGGCTGTTTCCTGTGGCAGTTTTCCTTGGCAGTCAGGGGGGCTGTGAGCAGCAGTGAATGAGTTGCATGTCTCTGTCCCTGCTGCATTGCCTGGTGGACCCTGACCAGAAAGAAAGGCAGATTGCTTCTGCTCAACTCTGGCTGCACAACACTGGCGTGCACAGCCCCCTGTGTCCCAGGCAAAGTATCAGGACCTTTCTCATGGCCACAAGGTGCCAATCTTATCTCACAGATCCCACGTGAGTTGTCTCTGAGGCACAGGAGCTGGGGGTGGTGGGGACGGGAAGAGCTGATGGGGTTCCCCTTCTGCGCAATCTGACTGAGGACTCGCTTCCTGTTAGTTTCTGACCTGGCTCCTTCTGAAGCAGTGTCCTTTTCCATCTACTTCTGTCAAGGGGGAAGAGCGAGCTGTGTGAAATACCGGTGGCCTTTGCCTTTTTCTGGACATGTCTGAGGGGAAGGTCCTGCAGAAGAGTTTGACATGAACAGTACACAAGGCATTTGTGCTGCTTCCACCTCGACTGCCCAGGCTGGTCTGCATCTAAGCTCCTGCTTTTGGTTCTGGATCGAGAGGGATGAGAGATACTCTTGGGACTGAAGACCAAGTTTGGGCCTCCAAGTCTCTGTTCCAGCCTCTGCTCTTGCACGGAGACCAAGTTTCCTGAAGAAAAACACGTCCCCTCTGTTCCCCGCCTACAACATGGGAATAGCAGCATGACTTTCTCCTGCTGTTCTTCTGTTTGAAACAGAAAGTCTTCAGACCAGGGAGCATCTCCCTCCGGGGTTGTGCAGCGCTGAGCGGCCGTGGTCCCCGGTGGAGCCATCTGGGGACTAGTGCAATACAGACACGTTCCCCACTCATCTCCCCAGCTGTTGTTTAGGGGACCCAAAGGTCTGCAGGAGGCTTGCGGCAGAGTCTGCTCAGTCCTGTTTTACCTACCAGCAGGGACATTAGAAAGGGCTTGAGGGGATGAAGCAACAAGACAGGAGAGTAAGAGCTCTAATTAGAGGGTTTCCTCTCAGTGCAGAAATCTTCAATTTTCATCAGATTGCCCCTTATCCTTCCCATCATGGGCTTCACAGCTTGACCAACTCCCCCGTCTGCTCTTGCCTTTTTTGTGTTCCTCTCCAGCACAGACCTGTGACTGGTACCAGCCTCCCTGACCTAACCCAGAAAGCTGGGGCTGCTCATTAGAGTCTGAGAGTCATAGTTCTTCTCGCCTCCGGCCTCAGGCCTTTTTGTAGTCTGTTCTCTCCCAGGCAGGGGCCATGCCCACGTAAGTCCTTGTGCAGCACCAAGCAAATTTGGGCCTTTATCTGGGTCAGGACCTATGCTCCCAGCAACGAACTGAACATGAGATATTAGGGACAGTCCTAAGAAAAGGTGTCCTGAGCATGAGACCCCAAACCCTGTTAGTGTCACCTGGATCATGGACGAGAAGTGCCTCTCAGAAGGACTACATGGCAGCGTGTAGCCTATGCTTTAGCGCCAGGAGTTAGGGCAGCTTGGTGCCCGACCGGTGAAGCAGTGTGCTTTAGCCAGGGCAGAGCACAGGCCAGAGTTTCCATGGAGCTGGAGAAATTACAGTTCAGAACATTTTCCTCAGGAAAGATGGACCAGAGTGAGGGGGACATGCACGTAGTATTCATATCCCTCACACGTGCCATCTTTCCTCATGACGATCGACAGGAAGAGTGCAAAGTTTAACCATGGATATGCATGAGAGTTTACAGTAAAGCACTTCCCCTGCCAGCGCTGTGCACTGGGCTCTGCTCTGCCGGCTCTCGGAGCGGTGGAAGCAGAAGTAATAACCACACGTCCCGACAGGGCGACGCACCAGCAGCAGCCAGTGACAGGGGACAGATTTGCATGAAGGGGCTGGTCTCAGCTCTGGGGCTTTATGAGAGACTCAGAGGGTCCCAGCCAGAGACTCGTTTGTGCCAGGAAGTTGAACTGATCAGGATTGTCACCATGGCCTGTGCCCTGCTCTTCCTTGCGCTGGTCACGTGCTGCTCAGGTCAGCAGAAGGGTTCAGGCTGTGACTGTCATGGGGGCAGTTGCTTTCCTGTCAGCGCGGTCAATGAATGGTTAATAATGGGTTTGTGATGTTGATTTCAGGGGTCTGGTCGCAGCCTGTGGTGACTCAGGAGCCTGCGGTGTCCGTGTCCCCAGGAGGGACTGTCACTCTGTCCTGCAGCCTGAGCACCGGAGCCATCACCTCCAGCAACTATCCTGGTTGGTACCAGCAGAAACCTGGCTCTCCCCCTCGGTTGCTTATATACAACACCAACAGCAGGCCCTCAGAGATCCCCACCCGGTTCTCAGGGTCCATATCTGGTCAGAAGGCCACCTTGACCATCACGGGGGTCCAAGCCGAGGATGAGGCTGACTACTACTGTATTGTGTATACTGGCAGCAGTGCGTGGTGCACAGTGATAGAGATGAATGGGGAACTGAGACATAAACTTCCCTTTCCACCTGCGCCTGCTGCCGACTCATTGCTCTGGCTGCAGAGTTTGGTTTTGCCGGCTCCATTTTCATTAGAAACCCCTATACACTCCCTAATCTCTGTCACCACAGCCCATGTCCTGCAGGTCAGCTCAGACAGCCCCTGCAGACTGTGTGGGCCGCCTCCCGATCCCATCCATGTCACCATGTGCGAGCCGGGAGCGATATGCGGACCCGTCTTTGCGCACGCGGGCTGTGGCCAGCAGCCCGGGCACGCGGGGTCAGAAGGGACCGCGGGGCGGCAAGGAACGCACGGGCTAGTATTAGTCACAGAGGTGTAGAGGTTGATTCAAAGATTATTTACTTACACCCAAGATGGTCGCAGTGTAGGCTGGACAGTTTCCAGGTTCAGCTCCGCTTAAATCCTCGTTGGAGGACTACGACAACTTTGGTCCTTGGGCCCCGGAGTTGTTAAGGCTCCGCGGGTTCGGCAATTTCTTTCCCACGGAGTTGTCGAAGCTCCGTGGGTTTGGTTCGGCTCTCAGGCCCCCGAGTTGTTAAGGCTCCGTGAGTTCGGCCATTGAGTATATAGGATAGGGATACGTCTAGGATTGCGCTCGGCGACGGGGAGAGGCCAGAGGCTGTTTAGACCTCTGTTGCCTTCTTAAGAAATGCGTTGGGTTCGTAGGGATCTGCAGCGCTTAGAGATCTTCACGCTCTCCCTCTCGGACTCCAATTGCTTTCTCTCCAACTTGGGCGGAAACCAACCAAGCTCTTTATACGGCTGGCAAGCCAATTGCTAGCTGCCACGTGTGCATAATTTAACACAAGCCAATAATGGGGCTCGAATTAAAATACAAATGGCAGGAACTCCTTTGCACCGTGCATTTCTGAGATGCAAAAGAAATGCACCATGCAAAGAAAGCTACAAATTGGCGGGAAGATTCTCCGTTGCACCAGAGTTCTCCTTTGCAGCAGAGAACTCCACCGTGCAAAGAAGCTGCAATTTGGCGGGAAAATAATTTAGCAGTGCCGAAGCACACACAAACAAAAATCACAACTTTGGGTTGTGACACAGACCAGATGCATGTTTTAAATACTCTCTGAACTTCATTTACCAACCACAATATTTCATGGTGTCAGTGGATCAATGAGTGATGTTGACTTGTCTGACAGCAGGGGTCAAAATCTGAAGTGATGTCCATGGGAGTGTAAACTGGGTACCCTATGCATCCCCTGGTACTAGCAACATGGGGATACCTGACTGATTTAACCAGGATGACCACGGCTTGTGTCCATACTGAATTCATCTGAAAAAAAAAGCATTGTTGCCTCTGGCATTTTCCAAAAGAAGATACTTTTGTCACTTCTTGCATTTCCATGTTGATGAATGCACCACCTCTTGCCTGCACAGTATGTTGTTGTTTGAGACACTGGTTCAGATCGTGATGTCAGTTGAACAGATGTAAATGCAGGATAGTTCCCAGGCTGTCATGCTTCCCCTTGTGCTTTAAGGGACTCCTGAAGTGGGTTCATGGCGGACACAATCATGGGGAGATGTAGGGTTCTGGTAGAAGATGTAAAGTAGATGCAGGAATCTGGAAGCCTTCCAGCAATCCCAGTGCCATGGTTCCTGCATTGGGATAAGGCATCACATGAGTTGTCCTTGAGCACTTTATAATAGCAACACAGTAGTGTAAGGGTTTGGCTTTAGCCAAGCCAACCTAAAGCATGAACGAGCACAATGAGGAGTTCCCGTTTCTTTCTGTGTCTTCTCCTTAGGATCGTGAGAAAAGTCAGGGGGACAACAACAGCCAGTGCACAGGGGTCAGATTTGCACAAAGGGGCTCTTCTTATTTCTGGGGATTTGAGAGAGACTTGGAGGGTCCCTACCAGAGACCTGTTTCCCCCAGGAATCTGAGCTCCTCTGGATTACCACCGTGGCCTGGGCTTCGCTCCTCCTTGTGCTTTGCATTTACTTCTCAGGGACTTACGAGTCCTCCAGAATTGCCACTATGGTCAAGGCTGGTAGTGATGCAGTCACCCTCCTCTCTCCCTCTCTCCTTGCAGTACTGAAGCTCCTCTACCTCTCAGCTCTCTCTTTCTTCGACTTGGTCCCAGGTTCGGGTGCCGGCCTGTTCTGACTCAGCCGCCCGCAGCATCAGCCTCTCCCGGGGGAACAGTTCGCCTCTCCTGTACTCAGAGAGCCTGGCAGTGCTCTGGGGAGGGTTATTTTTGATGCTCACCATAGACTTTGCGGGTTTCCAGGCCGATTCCCTGCTGCTGTTGACAGCTCTGCCAACACGGCCATGTGAACCATCGCCAGAGTCCAGCAAATGATGAGGCTGATTATTACTGTGCTTCACTTGGCATCAGCAGCAATAATGCCACAGTGTTTCAGACACAAAGAACTGAGAAAACCTCCTCAGCAGCACACTTGGCACTGAAATCATGTGTCCTGATGCTGCTTGAGGCTGGGTAGTGGGTTGAACTGTTGTTCCTCAAACTCTCCTGTTCCAGTTCCTAATCAGGGATTACTTGTCAAGCAGGCGCCTTCTGTCCTGCTGCTCCTGTGGGTGCCCAGGGATGGATGCCCTGCAGCCCTGGATTGGCATGTGTTGGGGGTCTTTGTCCATAGAAATGTGAAGCCTTCTCCTGGGGTTGTGGAGGGTGGAGGCCTTGGCCAGCTCCAGTACACAGTGGGACAGAGGTGTAACCAGGCAATCCCCCCTCACAAAGGAGTGGCAGGAGAAGCCATGCTCCCTGGCACAACCACAGAGGTTTCAGACCACAGACACATGAGTATGTCGGCCTAGCAGTGGTGTGCTAGGCTCTGTGCCCTTACTGCCCTGATTCAGAGCAGTTTCTCATTCAGATTTTGCAACTCTGAGCTGCTAGGATGCCCAGCTCCCAAGCTTTGCAGCCTGTTTAGAATGTAATGGGCACATATAATCTTGTATACTTTCTTCACATGTAAAGTCATTTCATAGATGTCAGTGAAATCTGGTGGCGGAGTAAATGAGATGTCACAGGCCAGCTGGGCACTTTGAGTGTATCAGTTTTATCACAGGCCAACTGGGCTGTTTGATTCAGTTTCAGATCAAGGAGGCAAAGTTGGGAGTGAGATAAAGGCAAATTTATTATAGCTTACACACTCACAACAGTTAACAGAAAGATAAATGTGATAAGCAGATAACACAGTATAAAAGAGCTAATAGTAAATAATAACAACAGATAATAACAACAGATAGATAGATAAATAGATAGATAGATCAATCTGTCGCAGGCCAACTGGGCACTGCGAGGGTATTAGCCACACTGGGCTGTTCAAAACAACAAATAGACAGACATGGGTTGGCAACTTGTTGATAGTCCCTCAATGCCAGGTGCGCGCCAAGTGATTCCAGCAAAGTCAGGTGTCCCTGATGGTAGACGCTGTCAGAGGGGTTACCGGTGAAGGTCCTTTGATCAGGATCCGATCCTCACTCACTCCGGGAGTCTGGGGTCCGGGCGTGGAACAGAAATGACCGTTCTGTTCCCTCCTTCCTTCTGGTTACCTGGTGCATGTGTTTTTTATACCTAGTCTTATGTTCATCTGTTGGCCTCAGGGCCACTCACAATATTGCCCTAGAGCTGTTACCCTATGGGATTGAAAGGTGTTAAAATTATCATAAAAGGTTACTACCCAGACTCAGGTTTATCCAATGAGCAAATTATGATGCAGCACCTTTAGGTTTGAAATTGACATCGCTCCGCCTAAATCCCAACCCCTTTTAGGCTTCATTTCCATATGCTTTCTTGGGATGTGCTTTCCTGGACTGTCTTGGGTGTGCCACGCAGTTAGATCCAGTTTTTATCGCTAAGGCTGAACCCTGAGCAAAAAACCATGAGGCCAGCTAATCTCACAGTGACAGCTTTGCCAATGGGGCCCAGTCAGTTCCATGAACAGTGAATTTATCATTTTGGTTAAACTTATGACAGACAAGTTACATTTGCAGTTTACAAACTTACAAGCTTATATTAACTAATATTACCTGTTTAGGCAAAATACCAAATGCCTCCAAGAAGCACATATTATTGCTTATTAATCCCTCTGGTTCTGGCTGTCACATGAGATCAGAAAGCGGCCCTGAGGCTTTGGACAAAGGATACGGCACCTGTGTTTGTACAGCCTCCAAATCCCATGTTCCTGAGTAAATGCTCCAAGTTCTCTCCCCACTTCCATGAGTGTGACAGCTGAAATTATGTCTGTGTGATAAAGGTGCTTGCTGAAGGCTCTATGAAGATTAGACTAAGTGTTTTTCTGTATTTGTTTAGCTATTAAGCTATATGTTGTTGCTAAAAGCCTAATTAAAGTTTAAGATGTAGTAAGGCCTTGTATAAAGTAAGGTCTACTAAATTTAGCAAAGCCTAGAAGTAGTAAGACCCTGTGGCACAGTTAAAATTACCTTATCAAAGGAATGCAAGGCTTGTACTGCTATTGGTCAGTCTGAGGACAGTTGAAGTAAAAGGAATCTGAATGGTTGTACGTTATCAGTACCATTCAGAAGCTATAAATTAGCTGGAATATCTAGAAACCATTCAGAAGGAAAATACAGCTCCGTGAAAAGGATTAGTTAGCTGCTGGCCTGGATCAGTGGGCCTGGGGACCTCAAGGAGCCCGAAAAACTGAATTCCAGGGTTCTTTCCGGTACCTCTCGGACAGCGCTGATCAGGGACGACTGAGTTTGCTGCACTTTGTGGAAAGCGTTTGTGGAAAGAGAAACTTGCTGTACATCAGGCATCAGAGGGGACTGCCAATAAGTTGCCAACGCAAATTGTTCTTGTCTGTCATTGTTTGTCTTGTTACTACACATAGTTGTGTTTTTGTTAAGTCAATAAACCTTTCTTACCTTTCTACCCCTGACCATTCTCTCAATCCCGAACCCTCTGCAGGCAGCTGGAACATAAATTGGCGTCATGAACAGGATTGAGAGGCTCTGGTCTGGAGAGAAAGGGCAGAATGGAGGGAGTTGCGTGGGCCCCGTTAGTGGCTTTGCTTAAGGAGGTGACGGGGATGGAGAATCCCAGGTGGGATAAGGATAGGTTGAGACCTGCTTGGAGTGACCCGGGAACTGTACCCGATCATTGGGCTAGGTTTGCTGCTGCTGCCCGGGGTAAACCCAGGAAGGGATGCCTGTCATGGCTGCTGGCCACATGCCTGCAGTTAGGGGCTGAAGAAGTCACCCAGCTTTGGGAAAAGGTCATTCAGCTGAGTAAGGATTAGAAGATGTGAGAGATTCCAACAGTGTGGCATGTGAGGCAGCGCGAACCGCTCAGAGCCACTTGGAGACTTTAGAAAGAAGGGAAGAAAAAATTATGATTGCACGCGTGGCCGCTTCCCTCCAGAAGGGGGCACAGTTAGTACAGGCTGTGGAGCTATCCTCCCACAAGATCAAACAGTGTCTTTATGGACAGAAACCGGAAGTTGAGCTCTGAGAAGATGGAGAGGAGGAGACTGATGACGAGCCTGGTGTTGAACCGCCCCCATATGTCCCTGCCTAGAGGGAGGAACCTAGCCAAGTCTTCCCCATGGTAGTAACCCCATTCAGGGAGGCAAGGAGGGAATCCTCGAACAGAGCTAAGTTCGTTTACCTGGGCAGAAATAAGAGATATGCAAATACAGCATAAGTCCAAGCCAGGAGAACCAGTAATAGACTGGCTAGTTTGAATGTACAGTGAAGGAGCTTCTGCAATTTCAGTGAATAGAGCCAAAGCAGCCCAAATCATTCTGCGCCCTGAGCTCCAGTTAAATCAATTTGCAGGAGGTAATGAAAATGTTACTTTGTTTTCTGCTGAGCTGCAAGCCACTGAGGCCACTTATGGTAATATGGAAGAAAAGCTTAACCCTGCCCCTTGGGCATGGACCAATTTAGAAGAGGCTGTCTGCTGCTTGTATCATTTAGCACTAACTGAAATCATTCATGCAGCAGTTTGGACTCGCATGCCAGATGCAGAAGTCGTGACAGCACCGTTGTGGAGGAGGTTTTGCTGACAAGCACCAACAGAGTGCACCTCAGCCCTGTTGGCCTTGGAGCCAGATGTGGTAGATCACCTGGTAAGAGATGCGATCTGGCGATTAGTGCAGCTTCTACTCATTTTGCTGAAGCCAGGG